CGCGGATCCCCGCGCGTGCCACGGGGGGGGGGGGGATAAATACCGCCCCCCTGGCTGCATTGCCCAGAGAATTGGCCTTCTGCTGCCTTTTTTGCTGGGTTACGCGTTTCATGGCGTCTTAGCCAGTGTTCCCTGTAAGTTGTGTGCTTGGGCAGCCACCCCAGGAGAGATTCAGACACTGCCTAACTAATTAGCAAAGTACCCACAGCCAGGAGCATTTGTTGCTATTTGATGGTGCACATCACAAAATTTATCCCGCACAAGGGTGGAAAAAATTAGGGGCACACAGGTTTGTCTAGTATCAAGCACTTTTTAGCACCTGGGGTGGGTCCTGATCCTGAAGGCAGCTTGCACAAGACACAGATTAGCCACTGCAGCTCAGCAGGGGCGGATATACAGCAGGGCGGCTGCCCCGGGCTACACGCTTCAAGAAGCACCACGCATGTGCCGTGGCAAAGGGGGACCCTGTGAAATTGTGCTGCCCTGGGCCCCGCAAAATGGTCATCTGCCCCTGCAGCTTAGGAGACACAGTGTAGCTAATGACCCAATAATTGGAGAAATGCGGTGGAGATGGATAGGCAATATTTTGGAGCAATGGTTCTCAGCTGTGGTCGGCAGCACACTAGCTGGCATATGTAGAGAGCTGGCAGCTCACATGGTGCTGGCCCTTGGCCTTCTCCTTTCCACTCAGTTTGCAAAATCAAAAATGTCTACATCTATATTAAGTACTTCCGTCATATGTTTCCATTTGTGTAATTGCTAAAGATGTGTCAGAGATTTTGTGTAATTGTGAATGGGAGGAAAAATAATCAATTGGTGGTGTCATTTGGGGGGGCTGTAGACACCACCACCTTGTTTCATACCTAAGGTCTGCTCACCTTAGCCCCACATGGACCTTTAACTGTAACACAGTTTGGCTACGTCTACATTGGCATGATCTTGCGCAAATACTCTTTAACGCAAGAGTTCTTGCATTAAAGTATTTGCGCAAGAAAGCATCTACACTGGCATGTGCTTTTGCGCAAGAACATCCGTGCCAGGATAGACGCTCTCTTGCGCAAGAAAGCTCTGATGGCCATTTTAGCCATTGGGCTTTATTGCGCAAGAAATTCATGTTGCCTGTCTACACTGGCCTCTTGCGCAAGAACAGTTGCCCAAGAGGGCTTATTTCTGAGTGGGAGCATCATAGTTCTTGCGCAAGAAGCACTGATTCCACACATTAGAATGTCAGTGTTGTTGCGCAAGAACTCCCCGCCAGTCTAGACAGGCAGCAGTCACTTTTGCGCAAAATCATGCCAATGTAGACACAGCCTTTGAGTTAAAAAACAGCAACTCATGGTGTTGGACATCATCAGGTGGTCGAGGGACATTTACCTGGAGTACATTGTTGGACAACCGGCAAAACCAGGAGGGAAGAGTTGGAATGCCAGTGAGAAGCAGTCAGGAAAGTAACAAATACTTTACTAATGGACTATATACTTTCTAATGGACAACCTACCCTAAATTCTTAACAATTCTCAGTCTTCACTCACTCATTTATCTACTTTCCACAACCACCTCTGCATAAGTAAGGAACATAGCAAAGCAATAGGATGCTAGATTCTAAACTGTTTTGTTAACTATATTCATCTAAATTTGGGTTATTGCTGATTATGTACTATATGCAGGGCTTGACAAATAATACAATCTACTCACCCGTGGTGAGTAGATTGTAACCCGGAAGAGCCGGGTTCTGGCGATCTGCACATGCGCAGATCGCCGGACAGCATGGCTGGCGAATGGGGCTCTCTGCAGTTTGGTGAGCCCTGACTATATGTTATCTTTGACTTTTAACAAACTTTGTATTTGTAGACAGTCTAAGCACTATACCCAGATGTGCACACTAGGGATGTGAATGGGTGATGCTTATCGGGTAATGGCTAGGAGCAGCCCTCCACCCATGGGCTATGTTTACACTCGCGGCTTCTTGCGCAAGAACATCTTGTGCAAGGGTTCTTGTGCAAAAAAAGGTCCACACTGCCATGTGTGAGCAGTGCTTTTGCACAAGAGTGCCCATGGCAGTGTGGATGCTCTCTTGTGCAAAAAAGCTCCGATGGCCATTTTAGCCATAGGGCTTTCTTGCACAAGAGAGCATCCACACTGCCCACCCGCTCTTGCACAAGGAAATTTACAGTACGGCGTGGTAAGAAAGGGCTTCTTGCGCAAGTATGGCCATTCTTGAGCAAGAATCCACAGAGCATCCACACTGCCATGGGCACTCTTGTGCAAAAGCACTGCTCACACATGGCAGTGTGGACATTTTTTTGCACAAGAACCCTTGCACAAGATGTTCTTGCGCAAGAAGCCGCCAATGTAGACATAGCCATGAAGTGCAGTCCTTTCTTCCCCCCTCTCCTACTGCTTCCAGCACTGGGCCCAAAGCAGTCAGGCTGGAGCAGCCCAAGCCCGCCCCATTTAATCAGTTAACATTTAACCAACTAACTAATTAAACAGTATTTTATATCCCTAGTACAGACACTTTTCTTCACTTGTGTATTATTTAAATTTTTAACATTAGTTTTAATAAAATTCTTATATAGATGTTGCGTTTAGAAGCTGAGAACAGAACAGCCTTTTGGACATAGAATTTGGTTTATAAACAGAGGTAGGGTGATTAAGAGAACAAAAAGTTTGTGATTAAAGTAAATTAAGGATCCTGAAAGCATTGGCAGGCACTCCAAGATAGGAATAAATGGTGAGATTGGAGAGAGGCAAGTAGTGGTGTCCTTCTGGTGTCTGTACTAGGACCAGTGCTACTTAGGAAAAGGACAGAAAATATCATATTGCCTCTTTATAAATCCATGTCATGCCCACATATTGAATATTGCATGTAGATCTGTGTGATGTTTTAGATGCTGCTTGTAATGATTAGAACTGGGAGCACTGGCTGTTGGGAGTCTGGAAGAACAGGAAACAGGAAGGAGGGAGGAGGAGAGGAGCTTAAGGCTAAGTGAGAGCTACAGAGGGGGCAGCAGCCAGTGCTCCCAGTTTTAATCATTACAAGCAGCATCTAAAACATCACACAGATCTACATGCAATATTCAATATGTGGGCATGACATGGATTTATAAAGAGGCAATATGATATTTTCTGTCCTTTTCCTAATAATTCCCAATATTTTGTTAGCTTCTTTCATTGAGCAGTTTTCATTGAACTATCCACAATCACTCCAAGATCTCTTATGAAGGGTTCAGCTAATTTGGAGCCCATCATTTTGTATATATAGTTGGGGCATTTTGCCATGCACATTACTTTGCATTTATCAACAAGGAATTTCATCTGCAATGTCTTCCCAATAACCCAGTTTTGTAAAGAGGTTTCACCTTTGGTAAATAAAGGCCTGTTGAAGTTTGTTAGTACCTGTACCTTGCTTGCATGATACACCAATCTGGTCGCCCTATCTCAAAAAAAGATATATTGGTTTTGAAAAAGAAACCGGGTAGGGAAACAGAACTGATCAGGGCTATGGAACACTTTCAGTATGAATAGAGATTAAAAAAACTAGGACTACATCTACACTGGCGCGTTCTCACGCAAAAACTCTTTTGCGGAAGAGTTCTTGTGCAAAAACTCTTCCAGAAGAGAGCATCTACACTGGCATGTGCTTTTGCGCAAGAGATGTGCTTTTGCGCAAGAGCATCCATGCCAGCGTAGATGCTCTCTTGCACAAGAAAGCTCTGATGGCCATTTTAACCATAGGGCTTTCTTGCGCAAGCAATTCATGTTGCCTGTCTACACTAGCCTCTTCTGGAAGAGCTCTTGCACAAAAGGGCTTCTTCCTAAGTGTGAGCATCAGAGTTCTTGTGCAAGAAGCCCTGATTTTATACATTAGAACGTCAGTTTACTTGCGCAAGAACACGTGGCCAGTGTAGACAGGCAGCAAGTTTTTGCACAAGAGCAGCTGCTTTTGCGCGAGATCACGCCAGTGTAGACACAGCCTTGGACTTTTCATCTAAAAAAAGAGATGACTAAGGAGCATATAACAGGTTTATAAAATCATGAATGGTGCAGAAAAAAATGAATAAGGAAATGTTATTTGCTCCTTTATCTAACACAAGAACCAAGCTCACCCAATGAAATTAATAGGCTGCAGATTTAAAACAAACAAAAGAAAGTAATTCTTCATAGTCAATCTGTGGAACTCTTTGCTAGTGAGTGTTGGGAAGGCCAAAACTATAACAGAGCTCCATTAAGAACTAAATAAGTTAGTGGAGTATAGGTCCATCAATGGCTATTAGCCAGGGTGGGCAGGGATCCAACACCATGTTCTGCATGTCCCTTTCCTCTATTTGCCAGAAGCTGGGAATGTGTGGCAGGAGATGTCACTTGATGATTGCCTGTTCTGTTCGTTCCTCTGAAATACCTGGTATTAGCCGTATTGGAAGACAGAAAATGGGGCTAGCTGTGTCATTGGTCTGACTCAGTATGATGTTCTTATATAGATTTATCAGCTCCCACTGTAAGCCATTAATCTGAACTCCCCTCTTGGAGTTGACGGAGAATCCAGGAGCCCTGACAGTGTCTCTCTCTCTCAGCACAGTTAGTAACAAAGTAAGAATATACATTAAAATTTTAAACCAAAGCAGTGTCCCTTAAGTGACTTGCCACAAGATGTCAGAACATATTATTAGAGCTGAGTGGTTCTAATATTTATTTAATTTTCTCTTTTTATAAAT